CTGCGATGATGATAGCGATGATGGTGGTGATTTTGACTATGACGATGAGGAGGGGGAAGAAGAGGAGGAGAATGAGGAAGACGAGGAGGATGAGACGGAGGAGAGGGCTAGAAAGTATTGGGAGTATTGAATACCCTGCACCGCGCTTGACCACTTCCACTGCTCGCGCAATGATCCCACCCACCCACCCGCAACTTGGTTTGCAGAATCTCTTAAGACCGTGACGATGGGTACCAAATTGCACTTGGCAACGACAGCGACGCCGACGACGACAGCGACAACGACGACGACGACGCCGCCGACAACGACTACGACGACACCGACGACGTCTTCAACGACTTCGACGACGCCGACAACGACGACGACGACACCGACGACGACGACGCCGCCGACGCCGACGACGACGATGACAACGACGACGACGATGACGACGCCGACGACGACGACAACGACGATACCGACGACGACGACGACGACGACGACGACGACGACGACGACGGCGGCGACGACGACGACGCCGACGTCGACGACGAAGACGACGACGACGCCGACGCCGACGACGACGACGAGACGACGACGACGTCGCCAACGAAGGCGACGACGAGGGAGGAGGGAGGACGACGACGGCGACAACGACGACAACGACGACAACGACGAGGGAGGAGGGAGGACGGCGACAACGCGAACGACGAAGAAGGAGGAAGGACGGCGACGCCGACGACGACAACGACGAGGGAGGAGGGAAGACGACGACGACAACGACGACGACGACGACGGCGACTAAATAGGAGGGACGACGACGAGACGCCGACGACGGACGGCGACAACGACGAGGGAGGAGGAGGAAGGACGACCACGGCGACAACGACGACGGAAACGATCACGACGCTAAAGAGGACGATGACGACGAACACGAGGAAAGACAGAGGACGACGTAGGCGACGACGACGACGACGCGGGAGGAGGGAGGACGGCGACGACGACGACGACGACGCAAGAGCGCGCGCGCACGCTTTTGTTGAACATCCGTGTTGCGAAACCTTGTGTTTTTGTAGGTTTTTTGGACACGATTTTGAAATCCTTCCGAAACCGATAGGCTTTGAAGGATTTCGGCGTACGCGCGCGACGACGCGCGCGTCTGCACTTCGTCCCATTTTTTGCAGAGGATTCTGGCGACGGCACACGCGCAAGGGCGTTCGACAGATTTTGACATGCGCGCGCGCGAGGCCCGTTTGGTAGCAGTTTGTGAACATCTTGAAAATCTATGGTTTCGCAAGAGCTCGCGCGTAATCTTTTTTAGTTTGTATGTTTTTTTGGGAAACTCGATTGCGAAATCTTTCCGACACCGAAGGTTTTTGAAGGATTTCGGCATGCGCGCGCGCGTCGACGCGCGCGTGTGTGCACTTCGTCCCGTTTTTTTGCAAGGGATTCGCGAAAACGTGTTACGTTAGAACAGAATACTGTCCCCGCGTGCTGTTTTTTACAAGGGAACCTCAGGGGGACCGATACCGGTTCCCCTGGGATAGTGTAATGTCATGTTTAGGATGGACATGTGGTCAGAATCATATTTGCTTTACGTACCCGAGAGGGGGTCCGATAACGCCGGGGGGGGCGGTGGGTAGAGTCTATTTTTTTGTAGAAAGGAGAAGTGAGACTGGAGAGAGGATGGATATAAAGAAACAGGAGTTGGGAATAGGAGGCAGGGGGAAGGTTGAGGACGACACGAGGCGGGAGAGAAGGCAAAGGGGGCGAGGCGAGGCGGAAACCCTTGTCCTGGTCGTGGGCGCCCTCCTGCGGCGCTGAATGACGCCCATGCTGGATACGACCAGGACTGCCGCCACGACTAGGGAGGACAAAGCAGCACGGATATGACGATTGTGATGAGGCTGCTGCTGATGATGATTCTGATGATGATGCTGATGATGCTGATGATGATGATGGTGGTGATGCTGATGGTGTTGATGATGATGCTGATGATGTGTGAGGATGATGGTGATGATGATACTGATGGTACAGATGGTGGTGCGGATGCCGACGCTGCTAATGGTGATGCCAATGATGATGATGTTGCTGATGATGGTGATGTATGTTGTTGTGGTGATGCTGACGACGACGAGAACGATCACGAGGATGATTCTGAGGATGCTGATGCTGGTGCTGATGATGATGGTGATGCTGCTGCTGATGATGGAGCTGATGATGGTGCTGATTATGTTGATGCTGATGATGAGTAGGACGATGCTGATGGAGATGATGATGATGATGATGATGATGATGATGATGATGATGATGATGATGATGATGATGGTGATGATGCATCATGATGGTGATCACGATGACGATGTCGATGCTGATGTTGATGCTGCTGCTTCTGATGATGCTGATACTGATGATGCTGATGATGCTGACGGTTATGCTGCTGATGCTGTTGATGATGCTGATGATGCTGATGATGATGATGCTGATAATGGTACGCATGATGGTGATGATGCTGATGATG